TTATGCTATTTTGATTGGTCCAAACAATGATAATTTAACATGAAAATCATTTCCATATTCGGATTGTCTCTGCTGTAGACCTCGATTTTCGACCTGACGAAATTTCCCTCTCTCACAACGTACTGTACATACCTCTGACACTCCTCTAACTAAAGACACTGGCCAATGATCATTTCAGTAGTGGTCTATAAAAGAATAAATTTTTTTTAAAAGAAAAATTTACTACAGTAATTTAAACCAAAATCTTTCAATCTTTATTATATATTTAATATCTTGTGGGATTGCTTCTAACTTGTTTTCTGGTCCAAAACACCATCGGGAAATTTGAGGCACGACTGTAATCAATTAAAATCTGATGATTTTAATCGATTATCATCACCATCAATGATTATTGTGCTTTGCAAAATATGTTCATGAGATTCGGAATATTCTATAGATTTTAAAAATCTAAACAAATAGACACCATCGGAAAATTTAAGACTCGACGGTAATCGATTAAAATCTGATGATTCTAATCGATTATCATCACCACCAACGAATATTGTGCTTTGCAAAAAAGATTCATGTGAGAACCAGATGATTCTATAGATTTTAAGAACTTAACAACTTTAACGATTTCACGGAAATCTAAACTAGAAATGGATAAATTTAGTAACACATTATTATTTATTATTTCTTGCGTAATAAGAAACATCAGGAAATTTTGAAGTCTGATTATGATCGGTTGCAAACAATTGATTATAATCGATTGGCTTATAATCGACGGTGGTGTTGATAATCGATTCATATCAAAATTGATAATAACGATAATCGATATAAATCTCGAAAAGCATTGCACGCACGTGATATTCTTTATTGGTTGGATGCACCTGGCCATTAGCGCCGGATGTTACAGCCGGTGATTTATTAAATTTGATAATTTGATCGTCCGATTTTTATTTGTTTACATGGGCGAATTATTATTTATATATTATGATGTAAACAATATCACATCATGATGTATGACGGATATGTAATAATAAGATCTTCTATTGTTGCTTCATATTTATATTGCGTATGACTTAATGGTCGTACTTTTATTGCGCCAATTATGCTTTTGGCGAAGTTTTCTTGTTGTACAATTCTTTTTTTTTTTTTTTTTATTTTTTTTTTTTTTTTTTTTAAGAGTGAGGCCTGGCCTCGGTCTTTATTGAATAATTTATGCGTTACATTAAAATAATGAGTTACATGAATTACTACAGGGACCTACAGCTAGGACTACTTTATCCTCGGCCTAAAACTCTACTAGAGTAGGCTAACAGACCTCATCTAGATTTATAGTAGCGATGTAAGACGTAGAAATATTAGTGGTGGGGAAGATGGTTGCCCACTTGTTGAATCTTGCTATACTATATTGTGGTGTGGAGGGTGATCTGGATGTTGTACAATTCTGAATTTAAATTTTTCATTTTTAATTAGGTGGTACGCTATTTCTGATTTTTGTAACCGTGATAACGTTGGTGCATTTCCCAAATGTTGTAATATTTGTGGCCGTTGCACTGGTCTGAAGATTATGGTGAATCTTCGGTGGTAATATTTCTTTAATTTAATATTGAGTTTCTTTTGAGTTTCTTTTAGTTGGTATATTTGTTTTTCAATATTTCGGGCAGTTTTCTTTGCTTGGTATGCTTCTGCGGGTTGTATATTTTCAAAGGATTTGTTTACAAAATCCGTGGCTTCATTCAAGGTGAAGTCTGGTAGCTTTAGTTTTTCAAATTGTTCTTCATTTTCTGAGTCAACTTCTTCTTGCTGGTATTTTATATCTAGTATTGTTTGGTAGTTTTCTATTGTATAAAATATAGTGTTGAGTTGTAATTGTAATTCGGGTGTTGTTATAATCCGGTCTAGCATTGCGAACTTTTATTGTGATTGGCTGATTTTTGTAGATCATCTCGTCATACTAAAGTATTATTAAAGTAACGATTTTCC